ATTTCAAACACCAAAGTTTTGGTTCACATTATGTGATTGTACAGAACAGAAAATTTTAAAAAGTCAACCATGCAAACCCTCCAGATGCAGGGAAGCTTGAAGAATGTTAAGCAGGAGAGAGTACTTTGGAGCCGAGCTGGCCAAAGCCACTGTGTTTGCTGAAGGGGAGAAGATTAAAGTCATCTGAACACTTCATTTCCCTATGGGGCCTGGCTGTAGGAGAACAATTCAAGGTCCACTGCCTCCAGGGATAGGTCTCCCCTCTTTGGCAGCCCACCCCCTGTGGTCTTTATCAAATTTAAATGATCTGTTCCCACCAGGACAGATATATACAGTTGTGTGTTTTGTCTAAGAATGTCAGACTTTAGACGCTGGTAAACTTCTTATGCATGAAACTATGGAGAAGTAGCTCATGATACAAACTGCATTTTAATACTATCAGTGCAGTTTCAAAGGAATTCCCCAGGGCCTCCAGCTTTGGGCTTTGATGCAGTTTGGGACTCTAAATCCTCAGGGCTTCTAAAATCCAGCTGCTGGTTGTAACTCTGATGGAATGGCCCACTGATAAGTTGACTGGTTGAGAGCAGAGGCTATAATGCAGTGTCCAGGGCACCATGGATGGCCCTTGTCTCTGTACATGTCAAACAGTGTCTGACTTCTGGCTGAGTAGAAGTGGCCCCATCTGTTATGGTTTGTGTCTGGACGTCCCCCCAAAGACTCACACTGTCTCGGGGCTGGTTTCTAAAGCTTATGATTGATTTGTGGCCCAATACTGGGATTGCAGTCCAATACTGGGATTATGGGTATGAGTGCTATGCCTGCCCTAGGGCAGGTAGCCTGCATACAATATAAGGAAGGGAAAGAGGCTGCTTTCTGCTGCTCCTCCCTTTCTGCTTTTCTTGCTTTTGCTGTTTTCCTCCACCGTGAACTGTTGCCCTGTACCATGTGCCACTCTGCCTTAGAATCAGCTGAGTATGGACTGAAACCTCCACAAACTGTGAGCTAAATAAACCTTTCTTTCCTTAGTTCTGGGTGTCAGGTATTTTGGCTCAGCAAGAGAGAAAAGTAACCAAGACAGATCTGCTGGTTTTAACTTGGATGGAATGGCCCGCTGATAAGCTGACTGGTTGGATCAGAGGCTGTAGTACAGTATCCAACACACCATGGACAGCCGCTTGTCTCTGTAGATGTCAAACAGTGCCTGACATCTGACTGAGTAGAGGTGACCCCCCACCAAACGGTAGAGACCCAGCCCCTGTGCACTGTGGAGAGAAACCTATCTTGCAGCCACTCACTCTTCCTGGAAGACCTCAGTCCTTTGGATGGCCACATCTGGGGCTCTTGAATCCTCCAGGAATCCATATCCAGACAGTCTACTGATCGCCCCCTTCCTTTCTTCCTCCTTCTGTGCTGCTGTCTGAAGGTGTCCATGAGGAAGGACACAACCGCAGGAGGCCTGCGTCCTGGCTGGGAAATGTGTTTAGACCACGTAGAGTTTGGGTGAAGGTGAAGGTTGTCAGGCTGTGAAAAATGGCATCCGTGTTGCCTGACCTGAAATAGGGCTGTAAAGTTCGACTCCTCACAGAGGCAAGATATATTATTGCTGTAACGCCATTATTCCGCTCCATCACTTTTAAACCTTGTTCTCATTATCTGCAAGTTAAATATAACCCTATGTAAAAACAGGAAGGACAGCACTAAGTTGTCCAGCTTAACAGCGCACACTTAAAACATAATAGAGCACTTGTTACCGTATTTTATGGAACGGAAACTCCAAATGTAAAGATGTATTAAGGAAATATCTCAAAGTTATTAGGGAAGGATATTTACAATTACAGATTGCTTTATATTATGCTTTTATGAACATCTCAGGAAATGAAATAGCCCTCAGCTGTAGAGAGTGAAGAGGGAGGTAATTTTCCTTAATACGGGTGATAAAATTAATCTGATTGAAATCGCTAGCGATTATTTCGCAGAATACTGAGTGGCAGTACAATCACTTACACTCTTTTATATTTTTTTAGTCAAAGCTCGTGCAGATGAAAGCTAATTACAAAGTAGTGATGTGAGGCGCTAAGGAAATAGTTTGTATAGCATGGAGGAGGCAGGGCTAATTGGGGTTTGTGATTACACAGATTGTTGTTAAGGAGAATTAACTACCAGCAGTCTCTCCTGCAAAGCTTCTCATCAACGCAAAGTAAAAATAGACACTGGATCTGTTATTTATCTAATTATGCCTTGAATATTTTCACAAGTGTGTTACACACTCTCAAATGGTTTGTTCAAAAACTTTCGGTTCCACACTGCTTGTGATCAGCGTGTCAATGTGAATTTTTTGACACTGGGCTCTCTTCAGACCACTTGGCTTGGGTTCCTGCTCCTGGAGCTGGGCAGTGAAGGGTTCTGAGGTTGGGGTTGATCTAGCGTGCCGGGAGAGGGGAGGTTAGCAGAGGAGAGGGTGCTTCCTCCTGCAGCTTTGTGGAGACTGCTAAGCCACTGGGTCGAGGGCTTATGTTGGAGTTAACTTTGTAGCAGGCAACAGTGAAAGCTCAGAGGTGCTTTGAAGACTTCAGATAATGATAGGTGAGTTTGTCACTGGCCATAACTCATCACTCATCCCCAGAGTGGTGCCTGTTCTGCCATGTGCCCCAAAGCCCTCCTTTGGAGGGTATGTTGAAATCCACAGAAGTAAGCAGTTTCCATGACCACCTACTTAGCCAGCATCTCTGAACTGAGGGGACCCTGGCAGGTACTCAGGCAGGAGCCCCAGCATGCCCACAGGGTGCACTACTACCTGTTATCCAGCTGCTCTGTGAATCCTTTCCTCTGCTTCCCATCACAAACTCAGTCACAGGTCCTCTCATTGCCACTTGCTGCAGGCTTCCCACGGGGGCACAAAGCTCCTCTCCAACAGGGAAATATCGCAGGCATTGCCTACCTCTAAGACCCCAGGGTGCTGATTGTGCTTCCTCGTGGTCCAGGCTGCTGGTGTTTGGAGGGTGGGGGAGCGCGTGGGCGGCTTGTGGCAGAGCTCAGGTAGAGTCTCGAATCCCTGCATGTCGTCATCAGCTGGGAAGGCATCACCTTACGGGAGCCACTCTGAAAGGCATTTCCTAGAATAATTTTGCAACAGAGGACATGCAAATTTATTGACAAGGTGATATTTTCCGAAGACAAGGTGTCTTCTGGAGACTTCATCTGCATGGCGACACACATTAGTGGGCAAGGTGTAAGGGCGCAGTGTGAGAATGCAGCCGTCTGAATTTGGTGATTTTCCCCAGCTGCATAAACCAAATGTAACAGCTTCACAAATTGCTTTAACAGAAATAAGATCAGCCAGTAGCATACATTAGTGGAACAACTTATAGATTTCAACTCATGCTTGTTTGCTTACAGGTTTTTTCCCTCTTAGTCATCTGTCTGTTCTTTGTTTAATCTTCATTATTAAAATCATCCAGTTGCTGCAGGAAATTATGCACTAGATTTAATTTCTAACATCGTGAACAGTAAAGAAAAAGAAGAGAAGGAGAAAATATACATTCTCCCCTTCGTTTGCTCTAGTTAGTATCTGTGGAAGTTCTTCTTGTGTAGATAAATATAGCCGGTTCCTAAAATTGAATTTCCTGCATTATTATTATTAACAGTTTGCTACAACCAATATGATATGCAGCAGTCTGTGGATGATGTCGGCAATTTCACTGCCTTCCTATGTGAAAAGAAGATAAAAATTATATTATATGGGTGTATGCAAATTACAGAGGGCCTGGCCTTGAGCTCCGGTAATTCTTCTATGTGCCTCTACATTGTCCACTTCGAGTGACAGGTACTGAAAAGTAAATGGTTTCCAATAAAAATCCTGTAACCTGAAACGAATCCCCACTGAATAATTAGAATACTTCATCCATAAAAGGTAATCATGTGACTCCCGTTTCTGAAGAAGCCTCCGTCTCCGATCAGCATCGATGGAGCTCTGGCCAGATTAGATCTTTAATTCTCATGAAAGAGACATAATACTCACCCTTTATGAGGAAGGCTGCTGTTGGGGCTGATGGCCTGAAGTTGTCACAGTTTCCTTGGGTTGAAAGTGCACTCGGTACTTAATGTGAGAAGGAGTAATGGACATAGGATGGGCTGTTTCATTTTAGACACACAAGAAAGAAAAATCATCTTCTCCCAAACGCAAATGGTGGTGGCAACATCTACCACGCTGACAGGGACACGCTTTCATTCCCAACGTCTAGTGCCGCTGTGTGGGGGCACGGACCCCCACCTTCCCACTGCTACTGTCTTTCTCTATGGGCAGACCGTAGCAGGAAACTTGGGCACATTCCTCGCATTCTGTGTGCCACACACGCGCCATCTCCAGCCGCATGGGACGGGCAAGGTGCTGGGACCCAGGGATGAGGAACTGAGATTCAGATCCTGCTGGTTACCCAGCTGGCTGAGTCCCCTGGGCAGAGGATTACTGGCTCTGAGCCTCATGAAAGGCTGATGGGGAGAGACTTTTACAGGAATCAAGTAAGTTAATGTCTGCACGATCAGTGTCTATCTTCTGCGTCCTGCGTGTAGTCTGAGATCCTAGCGTGGCTCTCTCTTGAAGTTTTACTACCCTTTCAAGGCAAGTCAGGGGCATAAGGTAAATCATTTAGAAAAAACCTTGTCAAAAGTGACATAGAAATGGAAATTCTTTAAGAGAGAGAGGAAGTACAGAAAATTGAAGGTAGCATAGCTCATACGAGTCCGCTAAATCGTCCGCATAACAATGAGCAACTGTAGTTTCCTACTAATTTCCTATATCTATGCTATGAAGGACCCCCTGTCCCTTGTCAAAAAAAAATCTACAAATCACTCCTAAAACACAAATAATGGTCACATTAGGCGGAAGAAATTATAACACTGAAATATGTCCTTGGACTAGAAACAAGGAAGCAATGTAAAAGTGGAAATGCACACCACAAAAAATGTGGCTTAATGATACATATTAAAATAATTACACATAGTTAGCGATTTGCCTCAGATAATTTATTGAACTTGGTTCCATGAGTGTCCATTTGCACCAGCTCTCTAAATATTTCTATTTCAGAGAATTTTGACATTGATGTCATCTTTTTCTCCCTACAAAATGGTATTAAATGGAAAAATCAGCATGTGCCATGGAATTAGATATAAAAACTCACCTCAAAAACTAAAACAAGCTTAGAGTTGTATAAATGTAAAATAAAGGCAAATATTTAATACCTAGATAAAAGGTTACTAGTTTACAGTCTGGCCAAATGGTATACAAGGTGTTATACTCCATAAATATTTTATATTTAGTGCTATGAAGCTCACTGTGGTAATTATTATAAAATGTCTGAGAATATAATTCTAAAAAATATTTATATGATGTGTTAGGAATAATAATTTATGAGGTCTAACATTTTGCAATACCACAAACATTTCAATTTAAAATCTCCTACTCTATTTCTCAGTGATTGGAATAGATTATTATATTTCTATCTAAGAAAATATAAAATATTATTCAATCTAAAAACTTCACAGTTCTTCCTTACATACAACCAGGTATTTCTGACCTCCCCCCGCAACATAAGAGTCTATTGTTTTGAACAGATTAAATTATAAAATAAATATTTTTAATGGATAGTTTCCTGTCTCTGATTTTATCAAGAGGCCAGTAGAAATTATATCTCATGGGTAAATATGTTGAATCTAAAGTTTTCTAATTATTAATTTCAAATTTTTAAAAAGGTACAAAAATACCTATTGAATCTATTTATATTAATCTATTTATAAATATATATACTATATAATAAATACATCATTTTAACCTCTGTTATTGACTACATTGTGGTATGTAAATCATAACCGCAGTAAAGTTTGCGTTTAAAAAATGATACAGAAAGTATCTTAAAGACATTTATAGGTAACATGATTGAAAATCATAAAGTATGTTGTCTATATATTTTACATGCAGATTAGCAAAATACGTTATACATAATCCAACGTTTTGAAGGTGACAGACACAACAGTGTTATAGATGTCCTAATAAAAATTACATAGTATTAGGTAATATATAGTCTAAGGTAAAATTCTTGATAAGAAATTCATTTAAAATTTTTTACTTCAAAATTTTTGGTAGTATTTAATATTTTAAAAATATATATTCTCCATAATCATTGACATGATAATATTCTCATTGAAACATCTAATACTGAGATAAATATTTTGGGCTAGAATTACTGAACATATTAAAATAATTTGTTTTAAAAATCAACTACATTAAGAAACTTAAACTGTGAAATCATCTCATCCTATAAAGTATCTTTAAATGTATTACAATTTCTAAGTCATAATGATAGGATCCTGAAAATAGCGATATTGGCATGGCTTCTGTTCCACGATTTTTTAACCTAGTGACTGTAGCAAGACAAGGGCTTCAGATTACATTTCCAGGTGTTTTTCAGGTATTTAAGTGGACAGCAATCTCAATGTTACTTTGTATGATAGAACCTGTGCCCTAGTCCACAGGCTAAAAGCAAGCAAGGACATTTATTTTGTAGGTCCTGAATTAGCAATGTCCTAAATCCAAACCTAAATTTGAACTAAAGCCCTTGGTGGACTCTGAGTTGCTAAAAGCTTGGAAGAGATCAAGTAGTAAGTGAGAAAAAATGCAAGTAAAAGATATCCAAGGGCCACAATACTTTGAACATTTGAAGGAGAGTGGATGTCATGCATCCTCAAAAATAATTTTTGTGTAGTTATGAGGTGATGTATGTTAGCTGTAGAAAGTTTGAAAAACTCAGAAAAGCCCAAAACAGAATATAATCGCTGAAGTAACACTACATATTGTAACAAATGCATCTAGCACACAGGTAGATGAATCAACTTGGGCAGTAATAGTTTATTTCTTCCTCAGTCCAATGTGAGGAGCCAAGTGTCCTACGGGAGGTCATTTAGGGACCCAGTGTCTGGTCTGGAAAAATATTAGGTACCTTATCGTTGTTAGGACAAACTTCTTGACATACAGAACCTAAAGGTGGAAGGGTTCATTTTGACCTGCGTTTTTGGAGATTTCTGCCCATGGTTGGCTCTGAGGCAGAAACAGTGTGCAGGAGGGGTCTGGTGGAGGAGGTGGCTCGGCTTATGGTGGGGAAGGGAGAGGGTAAGAGAGAGAGAAAAAGAGAAAGAGACAGAGAGAGAGAGGGAGAGAGAGAGAGGGAGAGAGAACACCAGCAGGAAGCACCCAAGAGAGAGGAAGTGGCCTGGATGGAGAGTTTCTGCTTCCAGGTCACATCCCGCAGTGACCCTCTCCTCTGACTGGGTCCCACCTTCTAACAGCACGTTCAGCTAGGAGCTCCTCAGAGGATTAATCCACTAAGGAACTCTGCACATGGCCATGATCAATCACTCTCCCATGCCTCACCTCCCAATGTAGGAGCCTTCTGGGGGCCATTTTTGAATCAAATTGTAACAGGAGCCACTGCCCTGCTCCAGGTCCTGAAGGTCACTGTGTTCTCACTGGAAGACAAGATTCCATCTTATCCCTGACTCTTGAGGAGTTGTGTTCCGTCTCCTTGCGTTACCACGACCAGTCTGACCAGTGAGCTTCCAGAGAAGAAGGTCCGTCACCTCAGGGGAGACAGTGGACGTCCACACACGGTCCAGCCCCCTTGACCCTCACCACCTCAGGTAGAGAGAGCAGAGGGGCACGGCTGAAGCAGATCCAGATCAGATCCCGGAGTCAGCAGATGGAGAAGAACTTCCTTGAAACATGTCAGGACAGAGGATGCGGGTTTGTAACGAATATGCTTGGTCTGTGTTAAAAATTCTTAGGGTTTTGGAGTCCTTGTTGTTGTCCCACAGCGTGGCCTGGCCTGGAACATGCAGGGAGCCTTGCACCTTAACCACCCTGCCAGACAGCGCCAGCAGCACCTCCATGTGCTCTGCCTGTGCGTCCCTGGAGAGGCTCTGCTCATGGACCCCTGCCCTACACCCTGGCTACACTGCAGGCCATGGTGGACCTGGTGGTCTTCCTCCCCAGGCTGCTGGGAGAGCTGCTGGAGGCTCACAGCTGGCTGTGCCTCTGAGCACTGCCTGTGGCTAGCATCTCCTGGAGTCACAGACCCAGCCCCTTGCTTCAACTGGGGAAAACTCAGAGGAGGGTCCCAGCTCCTGAACTCTGTGGGAGCAACAGAAATTTCTGTGTGGTACATCAGTCTCTCCCTCTGCTGATTCCTGGCTGCTCCCTTCTTTACAGACATGCGTCCAATTTCTGCATCCAACTCCTCTGCTTTCTCTCTGAGTCTGTTTCTAGCAGGCCTAACCTGAGACAATAGCACAAGTGGAGAAGTAACCTTTGCTGGACAGCTGTCTAGCAAAGAAATTAAGAGTTTTAAGAAATTAAGAGTTTTATGCATCTGTATATGTTCTCCTGACCATGCACACACTGCACACGTACGTACACGTTCTGTTCACACATAATTGGTTTGTCGGGATAACTTATTTATTTTGCTTCTCTGTTTATAAAGAAAAACATTTTTTGCTTATAAGTGCCTGCTGCCTTCTGCTGACAGAATCCATTGCCCCGGGGCACACTGAGGTCAGAGCAGCCAGGCTGAGAGGGAGAGGCTGGGGGGTGCAACTGCTCTGTGCATGGGAAGGGAAGGGGGCATGCGGGAAATGGTGTTTTCTCTCCTCCCTCCACACATCTAGATACAAAGCAAGAAACCACCCAGCACAGTCCCCAAGCACTGATTTATCGTGATCAACCAAACTGACACCATTAAAAAAGTCAATTTAGCCAGGCATGGTGGCACATGCCGTGATCCTAGCACTCGGGAGGCTGAGGCAGGAGAATTGTGAGTTTGAGACCAGCCTGGGCTACAAAAGTGGGCTCAAGGCTAGCATGAACTGCGCAGTGAGACTCTGTCTCAAAAAAACAAAAAACAAAGAAAAACAACATTTTAAACAATGCTCTGACACACGTTGTGGAGACTAAGACTCTGAACATATACTTGATTAATTTCTTAGGAAGCATCCCTTGAAGAGAACTCGAAGATGAGATATTATGAAGACTCTTATGGCTTCAGACGCTGTTGTACAATTGTGCTTCCAAAACTTCATGCCGGTTTATGGCGGAAGTGATTAACCACTTGAATTCCAATTCTGCAGTCAATTTACCTTCTTTTTCTCTATGTCACCATTTCATAAATGACACACACATCTCCCTTTTGGTGCACAAACATCTTCAGTTTTATACAGTAGGACACAATTGTGTAATCTGGCTCTGTGATTCACCTGGGAAGGTATTCTACATTCTGTTGTGCTAGATTTTGAAGTCATTTGATATTTCATGAATTCATTTATACCTTACATTTTAAACACTTGGCACATGATATTTTTTGCATTACTTTAGTTTCATAAATGGGAACATTTTCACAAGAGTAAATATCCAGTCAGCCAATTGCCATAATTTTTCTAATTTTCTACTCCTCCTCCAGTCACCTGAAATATCACTATTACCGTATGCTAAATGTTTTTAGGTACTCAGGCTTATCTTAAGGCTATATTGGTTTATACTCACAATTATAATTTTATATTAAAATTTTGAATTATAATGATAAATTACGTTCCATCATATTAAACTATTAGGACAATTATAACTATAAATGTGTATAAACTGCAATTGTAATTGTTTGCTGATAATGGATAGCTTTACAAAATTGTACTTTTCAATCAGCAAGAATAATAATATTTTAACCCTTCCTTGAAGTCCCACAGCATTCTCTACTATAAAATATTAGATTTTCTCAGTATAGGTCTTACATTGTTTGAAACTTGGTCCTGGCTAGTTTTTATATTATCTCTGAGGAAGGAAATATTTTCAATTACACTCACTAATCAGTTATTTCTGGAACAGGAGAAAGTTCTCATGTGTGAAGTGTGTGTACAGTTTAGACTTGGCCATTTATGTCAGGGGAAAAAAACCAAACAGCCTGTTTCTTTTTTTCTGTTTTCACAACGCAATCAACACAAAAGACTTCTGTGAACTCAGCAGTGGTGAGTGCTTCTCCCCACCAGCAAGCAAGAAATTAATTCTGCTGCACACACCGACGGGGTTCCCCCATAACCTCAACTCTGACCCCTGACACCTGCAGACAGTGCCATGTCCCACGGGTGGAGGGCTTGGTCCCACGATCTCCCCTCTCAGGCGGCTAACTGCAAGCCCAGGTCATCCTCCTGCCTGGTTACAACTCCAAGGTCCCACAACTCCCTTCTCCAGTTCAATTTGTCTGCCTGAGCGGCTCACAGAACTCAGGGAAGCATTCGCACTCCCCGGGTAATTAGAAAGGAGGCACAGGGTAAGGAGTACGGGTGGGGTGAGGAGCTTCATGTTCTCTCTGGATGGATCACTGGTCACTTGGACCTCTGAGTGTTCAACTGTCGGGAAGCTCTGCAAACCCTCGGATCTGGATTTTCACGGAGACTTCACTGTATAATTATGATGGCTTGTGACATGACTATAACCTTGGGCAGTGTAGCTAACTTAGCTTTTCACCTCTCAGCACTCTGCAGAGGAAGAACTAAAAGTTCAGACCCTCATATCTGTACTGGCCTCTCTGGTGAAGCCACCACACCCGCCTCAAAGCAAGCAACTCACCATGGTCCCAACAGACCCTTAGCGCTTGGAAGATTCCAAGCACTGAGGGAGCTGTGTGCCAGGAAGAAACGGTAGGTAAGTCCAACACTATGCTTCACAGTATCATGCTGGTTTGCTCGGTGTTCCTACTCACTGATTTGTTTTTCTGTTGAGACTCTAATTTCATAGATAGGCCATCTTATCGCTATAGGATAACTTTCATTTCCGCAATTTATACCTCACTTATTTTTATGATTTTATGAAGTTGGCTAGAACAAACAGAAAATAATTCCCAGTGATGCTTTCTAACGTCTTTAACTTTCAGCTGATTGGATCCACAGATGTGACGTCACGTCTGTGGATCCAATCAGCTGAAAGTTAAAGATGTTGGAGAGAAAATGCATCTGTACCAAACACAAGCACACATGTCTTATAATTATTCCCTAAAAAACACAGCAGAGCAGTATTTACATAGCATTTCCATTGCATTAGGCATTAAGAATAATCTAGTGATGGTTTAATATATGTAGGAGGACATATGCAGGTAATACCCAAATACTACACCATCTTATCTACGGGATTTGGAGTTTGCTATTTACTGAGGGGAGGAGGGCTGGGAATCCTGGAACCCATATGGATAACTGAACCCTAATGGTATAGATATTTGTATTTTTCATTGCTGTACCAAGTCATTTTAGCATTTTGCCATTAGATGCAGTGCTAGAAAATACTCTTATTAGTGTATCAGGAAGATTAGCACTAACGACCAAGAGTGGCTAATGAATTCGCTTGTCTTTCACAGGCCTTGTAAAGCAGCCTTGACCCTGTGTACCTTCCTCGGCCTGTGAGGAGAGGGGGCGGTCTCTCCCTCCCTGGGACTGTGATTTTCAGCCTGTGCAGCTTTTCTTCCTATCAGTGGAATACTTCACATATTCGATTTTCTAATGGGAAAGTCTTTTACCTTCCTGAGCAACATCTGTTGATTTATACTGTTCTTGGAGTAGATCAGTGAATTGGGTTTTCTAGTATTTTATATTTTTATTACAAATGAGATGAACTTGCATTTTTATCTTGGATCACTAATCTTGCCAGATATCGACATCAAGTTAATTGGAAAAAAACCTTACTTTTTAGTGCCATATATATTTGAAAAAAAGAAAACCAAGAGTTTTCTTTACTTTAAAGTTTTAAAAGAACTTAACTATACAAATTGGGCCCATAAAATTTTTATTTTATGATAACTAGTGTATTTGCTTAGCTTTGACACATGCATATTTCTCTAATATTAGTGTGTCCTGATATTCTAAAAGGTCATCGAAACCTACGATTATATTTCAGTTTTTGTCTTTGGTAATGAATACATGCATAATGGTTTTTCCTATTAGTTTTGCCTCATGCATTATGATTTTATTGAGTTCTTATCATTTGCAAATAACCAATTAAACTGCTCCAATTTACTGATGCACTGTGTCCCTTCTTTCCTCCTGCTTTCCTAGAGTTTTCGTTATATTTTATATAAATTCTTCAGCTAAATGTTTAACAAAGTCACTGTTAGTTGTTCTTTTCCCTTTAAAGGTCTGTGTGGCTTCGTTACATCCCCTCCGTACTGTTCTGGCCTTTTTCAAAAATCCCACTGTGTTGCTACAGAAAACAGAATAAACATGGAAAGAAACGGCACAGAGAAGGTTTTGGAGGCAGTTTATTACACCGATGAGCCTGACTGGTATCTCTCCCGAAGAGTCAGCCTCACCCTGCGATGGGTTTTGAGGCTTTTATATGGCGAGCAAGTGGGGAGGTACAATGGCAGATTTGTTGCACTGTTATTGGCGGGTTGGGTGACATCGTGGGTTGTGGAGGGAGTCTGAACATCTCAAGTTACATTGCAAGGTCATCAATTAAACAGGCATAAGTCACACAAAGAAAGAAATGCCCCGTTAGATATGAAGTTAAACTGCAAGGCCATCAGTTACACAAAGGTAGTTAGGACAGGGGTTTACACAAAGGAAGGTGTGTTCTGTTATCGGCCTGCTGGACACGTCTGCTTGGTCTTGGCAGTTATCCTGGGCAGGCTGTTATTTAAAATTTTATTTCCCCCTTCAGTGCGAAATTGTTGACGTTGCTATCTTACACTTTAAAAATTGTATCTCGAAGTCGTACCCCAAAAGACACACATGCTATGTGTTAGACGTTTTAAACATGCAACCCGATGAAAAGAAGATGAGACTCAGCTGTATCTAGAGATTCTCGGGGGTTCTCCGCAGAAACAAAATCAGTACGCATTCAAAGCGTATGCAAGCGCTTCCCGAGATGCGCCTGGAGGGCGGGGGCCGCACGCCCCACAGCCGCCATCTGCCTGCTGCAGGCAAGAGGACGCAGGTGCTGCCCCTGCAGGAAGCTGGAAGCGGCAGCACGAGAGGGACAAACGCCGCAGCACCGGCCCAGCACTATGATGTGCAAGCTCCCCAGAGAACCCTGAAGAAACGCGAACCTGACGTCAGCCAGCCACGGCAGCATAAGACACGCTCAAGCACAGCGGAGCTTTTCAAACGCAGGCGCAGGCTGACTTCCTCCTTCTTCCTCCTGCCTGTCCATCAGGCTACAAGCCTATTGGTTGGTGTCACCATCGGGGTGGGTCCTTCCCCTTCAGCTTGCTGGCCTGCGTGTCAATCATCTTTAAACTACGCCCATGGAAACACCGGAAATCGCGTTTTGCCAATCTGCCCAGACGTCAGTGATCACAATTGTCTCTCACAGTGTATTTGAGTTAGTGTTGTAATTTTGCACGTGTTTGATAATTATAGTTTACATTTCTCCTTCGACATTAGAATTGATATTTTCAATATTTGCATTTAAAGTGTTCATGTATTTCTAGTTTATTATAAAGATATTTGCAGTACATGACTGTATGCTTCATTCCCATGGGATATTATTGAATTTGCTGTTTAACTTTGTAAATGTTCAAGGATGACACAAATGCAGAGAACTTCTGTCTGTTGAGTACATTTAATAAATCTGATTTTATTATGCTATCTTCCTAATTATTTTTCATTGAGCACATCAGTCAGTGATCGTGTATTACAGCATCTAATACATTTGTATATTCATTTTTCTTAATGTTACATACATGGTAGTTTATAATTAATATGTTTTAATAAAAATGTGTGTGATGTCTATGGAAACATCTCCTGAGAATAGTAACTTTTGTAAAATTACCCTCTAATTATTTTACATATATTATTTGAATTTATTTTACTCTGATACTATACCTGCAATTTCTGATTTTCTTTTGTTACATTTGTTAGACCTATATTTTCTTATCCTATTGCTTGCTTCTTTTTTTAATGTCTTCCTGTTTGTGATGTATTTTTCCAAAAGACTATGTTGTAGGAATATGATTTTGCTTAATAATTTTTTGTTTTGGGGGGACAAGGTAGTTTATTTGTGGTTATAATTATGAGGATACATCAGTTTTTCTTATCCTTTTTGGGCTCTGTGCTGTGTGTACACGGTGCACACATGCTTGCTTATTATATTCTTTTGATTCTTTTTGCGTAGACAGTTTATCCCCTGCATGACTCTGAAGGTATATATTTTCTATTACATTCTGCTAGGTTTTCTATTTTTAATTTTTAAAGATATCTTTCAAGAAATAGTTTCATGTCTGGTACCTGGCTTTGAATTTCTATTCTGGCACATGTGGGCTGTGTGATCTCTAGCAAATTTCTTACCCTTTCAGTGTCTCAGTTTTCCTATCTTTGAACCAGGCATAATGATAGGAAATGATTAGATTAAAAAATATACTGAGAGCACTCTGAAAAATTTACAATAAGTAGTATGAGATCAAGAAACTTAACTTTTTCGGTTGTTAGTAGTGTTATCCTTATTGTTCTTATTGTTCTAATTTTCCCAGCAAAAACAAAATGGCAGTCTGCATTTTCTCTGTTCAAGAATACCACTTGTGGAAATATTTTTAATTAACTTTGCCTGGAAGAAGGTGACCAGCTGCATATCTGCCTAGCAAGGCCTCTCCCATTTCTTTGATTGTGCCTTCTCATCTCCCCGCTTTCATGTCTTCTTCGGGGATAGAAGTGATCTCTGTACTCATCAAACATTCACTCTGTAAACTTTCCTTATGCTCTGCACAGCTTCTCAGATTTGTCTTTTCTCTCCTTGATTGTTTTTCCTAACAAATATTATTTTTATTGATGTTTGGGCACACGTACGTGCTTAAATTGGAGGCAATATAAATATGTATAAATTTATACAGATCAACCAAAAAGTATTAGTTTTTGCAGTAGATGTCACACAACACTTCATGGGCAGTGAGTATGATTTTAAAATAATGAGTGCATATTAGTGCATATTAGTTATAGAGATGAGTGAGTTCCACTTTGGCAGATTTGTATATGCAGGAAATATACCAAGGATATTCCCTTTCCCACTCCAAGGCTCCCTCTCACCTTCCCCTTCCCCCTTCCTCTCCTCTACCAGCTCCTCTGCTTTCTGGCGTCTCCTCCAGCCCTCACATGAGAGCACGCATGTCGTACTTGCCGACCTGAACTGCCTTATCTCACTGCCCACAGTGAGCTCCAGTTCTGCCCATTTTCCAGCAAATGATGGCTTCACTCCTCCAAATGGCTCAGTAACATTTCTTTGCATGTGTATTTGCCGTGCTGATTCCACAGCTTAGCGAACTGGGCTGGAATCACCCTGCATATGCAGCCTTTAATTCTGTGGTATACTGACCTTAATTCAGCTAATTCAATTAATTTAATTCTGCTCACTCATGGTGCACGTATGAGTTCATTGTTTATTGTATTCAATCTTGATTTCATTTTACTTTGTGTTTAGTTTCTTCATCAGTCTTTTTAATGCGGTCCCATTCCTCTCTCATCCAGTTCTACCTCACCCAATCTGAGGGCTGATTTTCCTCACCCGGTCCTCTCGGAATGCCCCATGCTCCTGGTGCTCCAAAGCCCATCTTCATGCATTCACTTGAGGATTTGTGTTGAAATCCTCTTCTACTTGCTGTCACGTCACTTGCAATGAATCTTATTCCTCTGGGTGCCACTCCCTCTTTCTTGTTCTACTGATTTTCTGTTGTTGTTTGTTTCTCCATTTTCTTCCTTCATCATGCTGAGAGGCTGGATGACCCACCCACATGATTGCTATATGGACGTCAGGGCTCCTCTCCACACTCACTGGGTGATGACCGAGGCCCTTCAGAGGTGCTGTGTCAAACAGGACATTGCTGCTCCCATTCTGCTGCTATGG